ATATTATTTGTAAGTTTCTTTTTGCTCGATTACAGATCGTTATATTATACGAGGTCTGGCTATTAAATAACGAGACTGCGCGCGCAGAAGGCGTCCTAGAGGGGTAGGGTGGGAAACGAATGCAGCGTTGGATAGCTGGAAGTGTCTACTATTCCAGTACCAAAACACGTTTTTGTCGCAGTAGTAGTATTTTTTCTATAGAGATTAGAAACGAACTTGTTTTTTTCTCGTGCCGATAACAATGTGTGACGAAAAACACGAGCAACGGATCAATGTGAAATTTCTCGTTAAATTAAAAAAAACTCCGACTGAGTGCTATAAGTTGTTGAAAGAGGCCTATGGTGAGAACTCTCTATCTCGTGCGCGTGTTTTCGAATGGTATAAACGGTTTTCTGAAGACCGAGAGAGCACCGAAGATGACCAACGTCCAGGTCGACCTGTCTCTGTTTCAACTCCGCAAACAGTGACCAAAATCAATGAAATTGCGCGCGGAGATCGTCGTATGAGCATTCGGATGATTGCTGAGACTGTAAACGCCGATAAAGAAACTGTCAGAAAAATTTTACATGACGAATTAAACATGAAGAAAGTCTGTGCGAAGTTGGTCCCAAAAAATTTGACCCCTGACCAAAAGCTCGTCCGTCAACAGATCTGCTCAGATTTTCTTGAGAGGTTAGATGAAGAGCCTGAATTGATGGAAAACATCATCATTTGCCATGAAACCTGGATATTCCAATACGATGTTGAAACTAAGCGGCAATCCATGCACTGGAAAACTCCTGCATCGCCAAGAATGAAAAAAGCAAGGATGTCGAAATCAAAATTTAAAGCCATGCTAATCGTTTTTTTCGACATCAACGGCATCGTGATGACTGAATGGGTTCCAGAGGGTCAAACTGTAAACCAAACTTACTATTTGACAGTTTTGGCAACACTGCGAGAGCGAGTTCGTAAGAAACGGCCGGAGTTGTGGAAAAACAAGTCGTGGATCTTACACCAGGACAACGCACCTGCCCATAACGCGCTGTCTGTGAAGCGTTATTTAGCCGCTAGAGGCACTCCAGTGCTCGAACACGCGCCGTACTCGCCTGATTTAGCACCCTGTGACTTTTTCCTGTTTCCGAAGATCAAGTCTGCCTTAAAAGGAACCCGGTTCGAGTCGATGGAAAAGGTGAAGCGAAAATCGGCGGAGCTCCTAAATGCTCTTACAAAAGAAGACTTCCAGCATTGCTTTGACCAATGGAAAAAACGAATGGAACGGTGTGTGGCGAGGGGAGGGGAGTACATTGAAAGGGAGCATTCAATTGTAGAATAATTTTTAAAATAAAATTCTTTTTCATAAGCAGTCTCGTTATTTAATAGCCAGACCTCGTATTATTTTATTTTAAATTAGCCAATTAGTGATGTGGGCTATCGGAACCCTCCCAGACATGCACAAAATCAGCATAATCAAACAAAAACGAGAGATTGAATAACATGTAAATATATTATATCACATATTATAATTTATAATAATCAGGGATGAGAAAATAACACCGTTACAAATTACGAATCATTACTTTTATTTTTTTATAATAATAGTTTAGCAATAATGTACAAGCTTTCATAATAACAATAATGATAAGATCAAAATCAAAATTATTTTTGAAATAATTCGTTACTAAAGGGTGGGCCATCTATTGGTACGTTTTTGAATTTTAGCTTCACAACAAAAAAAAAATTAATAAAAAATATCAATGTATGCTCATTTGATCGCATTTTTAAAAACGTACCAATAGATGGCCCACCCTGTATTACGCATTATCATTAACTCATTGAAAAAATATCTTTAACGTAAAAGTAATGTATTATTTTGACTCGTTACTTCTTACTCTAAATAAAAATTGTTTTCAATGCATAACGCATAATGATAACAAATTACTTATTAAAAATAACTTCAACCCTGATCTAACTATTACCGTTATTATGAAAGATTATAACATTCATAAATCGTTATTATAAAAAAATTTTAAAACATGACTCGTTACTTATAACAATGTTACTTGATTACTCATTTCTGATATAATATTCTAAATTATAGTTTTTACCTCTTGACAGATAAGATTGTATATTGTTCCTTACAAATTTTGCTTCACGCAACATCTTTATCTTTTAATGTTATTGTATCGCTTCTTTTTATTTCAATAATATTTTTATATTTATCAAGAATTTGTAAGAATATCTTTCTTTCCATTAACGTGTAATGCTTGTTTTTAGAAGTGGGTTTTTCTTTGCATGACATTCTGTGTAAATAATACAATATTTAATTATAAAAATGATTTAATGATTTAAATAAATTTTTCACTTTTCAATTATCCAAATAAAATATAATTAAAAGCATAAGGGGTTGCACACAATCAAAGGAATAAGGAATAGAGAACAGAAAATAAGAATTTCAATATCAAAAACTATATATTCCACAGTACAGGTTTTTGATAGGTTGAAATTCTTATTCTGTTCCCTATTCCTTTGATTATGCTCCTAATAAGCATTTAACTTAAGTACCTGCATCTATTATCATAATCTCAACAATAGACTCGAGAATCTCGACTGTTTAACGAAATTCATTATCCTGATTCTCTTGCAGTGTAAAAAGCGTAAAAATTAATTCTGGAGATTCACTAGAATTATTTTTTATATTGCGCCAGAGAATCAGGATATCGAATTTCGAAATTCTTGAGTTTATCGCTGAGGTTATGATAATAAATACAGTACTTGAGTTTGATTTTAGTAAATAATTTTATAAAAACTAGCAATCTCCGAAAATATTGTTGTTCTCTAATTGACATTTCATACCTTAGTATTTTTTTTAATTTTTTTTACATCTAAGAGCAATGTAGTTTATAAGATGTCGTGTAATAATTGCAATGCGTCATACGTTGGACAGGCGGGCAGACAATTGAAAACCAGAACATCATAATCATATTAGACATAACACTTCTGTCCGTTCTGTCATAACTGAGCATAGGCTGCAGTATGCTTTCCAATGGGACAACGTTAAAATTTGGAATGAAGAGCCTTACTATAGAAAACGCTTAATTTCTGAGAGATGCTCAATATGAAAAAAAGCAGAAAAATAGTTTAAATTTACAAACTGATATTGTAGGTCTCCATAAGGCATATATACCTATTGTAAATAAAGTTTGACTCTTCGATACTGACAGTCCGTCTCCTCTCTCAGTCCGTA